TATGGCAAAGCGGCGCTTCCGACGCGACTTCGCGTTTATTTCGCTTTTTTTAACGGCGGCAGCGACGGTATGTATTTGCTCTTTCTTAGATACCTTTGAAGGGCTGTATGATTCGTTTATCAATCAGCTTTGATGTCTTGATAAGGTTGAGACTTTACCCTTCTGTTCATAGCATTTGCTAGTGCATTAAATTTCTTTCTTCTTCCTTTGATTCTTCTAAAAGTAAATTACAAAATCAAAGCGTTCACATCAACAAAATATGAATATTCAAGCATGGAGCGTTAATGATTAAATGATCCTTTCATTGCATTTGATTCTTACGTGCTCATCTCACCGTATACTAAAGCACGCTCTTGAGGACCAGTTGGTTGAGCCAAGCGACCCTCTCCATCACGTTTGGTGTAACATTCATTACTTACCAGCATTTACATTATAAAACTCTTTCAATAGAATTGCAATGGATGTCTGAAATTCCTAGGAGTTCGTATCATTCACGTGAGATTTCACTATTCGCGTGAAATCCTCGAATCATTTTGCTTTTAGAGCCATGTTTCCTTTCTGAACTCCTCATTTTCAGAAAGAGCACAGAACGCGAAAGTCTTTTTCAGTTTTCTTCATTTTTTATTTTTCGTGAATGAGTAAGTCTACATATAAAGAGAAATAACAAAAACTTAGTTTAACAACAAACCCTGTGTGTAGGAAGACCACAGTACAACAAAAATCTAAACAGGAAGAAAACAGGAATTTCCTACTAGAAAGTCTTAAATAAGAGAACGTGTCATTCCAATACAAATCCGAAACGCTCACTATGTTCCTGAAGCGTATGATGCTCTTGAAAAGTCCACATTCACCCATTAAAAGTATATCTGTGATGATAAGTGTTCAGTGGCGTGTTATTGAGAAGGGCCGACCGCGTATTTTGGCTCCGGATTCGACAACACTTATGAGTGTAAATAGCAGCTCTATAGTCAATGGCAAGTTTCGTTACCCCTCAGGAAGAAATAACTTGTTGCTCATTATGTCCTTCAGGTACAATAAATGGACAAGAGATGGTTAACGCTGAGTTACTGCTTCTCGATGTGTCAACATCGGATGGAGCGGAGTATCAGTGTGTCGTGCGGAACCGGTTTGCTGCAGAACATAGCATTCGATCCGTGTTGAAGGTAACGGAGCTTCTTATCAAATTGGCCGAAATACCCGGTTTCCGTACGATTCTACCTGCACGCGTACCGGTGTTCGCTTAGGTTTTCCAAGTGCCAGTGTTCTCCAACGAACCGGACGACATGTCGCTGCTGGTTGGGCAAAATGCCAGGATAATGTGTGCTGCAACAGGTTATTATTTGATCTTTCAAAAAATGGTCAGACTAACTCTCATCTCTATTGAACTTTGAGAATTTTCATAGAGTTGCAAATGCTACATAGAGTGAAGTGAGAACTCTATGTGAGATCTAAACTTTACGCTCAAATACGCCTGAGTAGATGACAAGTATCGGCTTTCTTCTCTAGCTGCAAAGATAACGAAAAAATTATTGTCGAGCAACATTTTTCTCATTAATGAGTATTTGGCCCAGTTGAAGCATAATGGGCAAGAGAGAGCGTTCCACTGAACTTGTTGGCACTACCCAAGAAGTAAAGCAGTCAAATGCAGCCTTTTTCCCACTTCCTTCAATAAGAAATGCGCACTCCCATGAGCAAAATAGCCGTATGAACTTCACAAAGGGTTTTGTCCAATTTTTTTCGGCCAATATATATATTTCATGCTGAAATCTAGAATTAATGACTGCTGTATGTAAAGCAAATGTTGCAGGAATACCAACACCTGTGATTAAGTGGTCAAAAGATGGAGGAGCAGCTTTTCCAGCTGCTCTGCAGCATCGTCTATTTGTCCGTCCCAATGATGATCATCTTTACGTAGTTAACGTTACAACTGAGGATCAGGTCTGATTTCTTAGGAATTTGTGACGATTGAGTTTTCAAAATGAAATTTTAGGGAGTGTATACCTGCCATGCTGTTAATGATGCTGGATCTATCCAAGCCAGCGCTACATTACGGATATTTGGTAGCTATT